ATGATGTTCTCCAGATTCATTCATGTCCTTACAAATGACAAAAACTCATCATTTCTGATTGCTGCATAATATTCAATGGTGTATATGTGCCACACTTTCCCAATCCAGTCTACCATCGATGGGCATTTGGGTTGATTCCAGGTCTTTGCTATTGTAAACAGTGCTGCAATGAACATTCGTGTGCATGTGTCCTTATAGTAGAATAATTTATAGTCCTTTGGATATATACCCAGTAATGGGATTGCTAGGTCAAATGGAATTTCTATTTCTAAGGCCTTGAGGAATCGCAACACTGTCTTCCACAATTGTTGAACTAATTTACACTCCCACCAACAGTGTAAAAGTGTTCCTTTTTCTCCATATCCTTTCCAGCATCTGTTGTCTCCAGATTTTTTAATGATCACCATTCTAACTGGTGTGAGCTGGTATCTCAATGTGGTTTTGATTTGCATCTCTCTAATGACCAGTGATGATGAGCATTTTTCTATATGATTGTTGGCCTCATATATGTCTTCTTTTGTAAAGTATCTGTTCATATCCTTGCCCAATTTTGAATGGGCTTGTTTGTTTTTTTTCCTGTAAATCTGTTTAAGTTCTTTGTAAATTCTGGATATCAGCCCTTTGTCAGATGGGTAAACTGCAAAAATTTCTTCCCATTCTTTTGGTTGCCAGTTCACTCTAGTGACTGTTTCTTTTGCTGTGCAGAAGCTGTGGAGTTTGATTAGGTCCCATTTGTCTATTTTGGCTTTTGTTGCCAATGCTTTTGGTGTTTTGTTCATGAAGTCCTTGCCTACTTTTATGTCCTGGATGGTTTTGCCTAGATTTCCTTCTAGGGTTTTTATGGTGCCGGGTCTTATGTTTAAGTCTTTAATCCAACTGGAGTTAATTTTAGTGTAAGGTGTCAGGAAGGGGTCCAGTTTCAGCTTTCTGCACATGGCTAGCCAGTTTTCCCAACACCATTTGTTAAACAGGGAATCCTTTCCCCATTGCTTGTTTTTGCAATTTGTCATTTCAACGTGAGCTGATTTTTAATGCACAGACTCCCTCTTATCTATTCTCTTTGCCCCTGTCCTCGTCACTTTAGACTAAGGTCATTTTCTCTTTTCTCTGAGTCATGGTATATCACCTTGTACTATTTATAAAAAAGTAACTTTTTATGAAAATACACTTTATTCTCTCAGCTGGATTATGAGCCTTGAGGACAAAGGCCACATTTAATATTTTTTTGATTTCCTAGAGCTCTTTGGCACCGTGATGGTGGACTGATAGATTTTAAAAAAAAGACTCTGCCTGAGTTCACTTCCATCCGAATGAAATAACTTGTATGAGAAGAGTACCTGTAACTTTCCTAATCTGTATATAGTTTTCTTTGCAATTTCCTTGTAGTGTGATGGAAAAGAAGGGTACTTTAGCATAGCAGATGATATGCAATGACCTTAATACGTGTGAGAAATAAAGGCTGACATGGTGTCTAAGAATGAGGTGTCAGCAATCCCGAGGGTTCCATCTTCCAAGGAGAAATTATTTCTTTTTTTCTTTCTAATCTCATCAGTGGAGTTGAAAGCTACTTACCCAGGAAAATCAGTGAAGCAGTCAGGTAAGGAAGGAACATGTTTCCAAGTTAGAATCAGAAGAGGTTCTTGAGTGGGGGCTCAGGACGTCACAGTGCAGCATGGTCTCCACACAGGCCTTCAATGCTTGTTTCTGTGGACATGGCAATGGTGCTGCCCAGTGAGTTTGCTCAGAATATTGCAATCATGTAATTATGTGGTCAGGGTGAGGATGTAGTCATAATCAGTTCAGTGCCGCTCAGTGTTGGAGAAAAAAGTTTTGAAATGAATCCGAATGGCTTTGTGGCTTAGCTGTGATTCAACTACAATGAATGGCAGAAACCCCTTTTTACAGCTCAAGTGCTCAGGAATCTGTGAGGTCTAATCAAGTCATTCTTAAAAAAGGTATGAAAGGCCAGTGTTGAGAATAGAGGATTAAAATGTAACACAAAACAGAGACATTTTGGATGAGTTAGAAATTGAGGTACAAGGTCAGAAACCATGATTTTAAAAAGGCAATAGGATTTCATTCAATATGAACCAGCTGGGCTAAAGCCACTCAAACTAGAGTTGGAAGCAAATGTTAAGACAGAAGTCAGAAGAAGGGACAAGACAAACAAGAGTGTGAGACAAGAAATTCCACAGCCTTCCTGCTTCTCTCTAAGAGAAGAGAGACTGAATGAATTTGTCTGTTACCATGCTATCCCCCCAAAACGTTTACCTATTGAGAAAAATTCAGTCTATTCATTTGGTCAACACTTTATTAAGAAACAAGTGTGTGCCAGGCACAGTACTTGTCATGTGAGATTCATCCGTGAACAGAATGGAGAGAAAATTGTCTCCTCCCAGTGTTTATATCCTAAATGAGGTGGTAGAGGCTTAAAGACACAAAGAAATGAAAATGAAAACATAATACATCTAGGTTATAGTATGTTAAAAGATAATTAATGCCATGAAAAAAATACATAAAGAGTAGGGAAGGGATGATTTGGCTGCAAAAATTAGAGAGAGGAGGGACTTGCAATGAACAACTCATTGAAATGTGCATGTGACCTATTATATTTTTCTCATGATTTTCCCTTTTTAGGGTGTCAACTACTTTGGGATAGAACATGGGCTAACAAAACACTGTCATAATTGTCGGTCTTCATCTAACCCAGGCCAGCTTGTTTTTCACAGAGAAAAATGTCTGTGACCTAAATGCATAATATGACACTATGAGTGGATCAAAAGAAAGTGTAAAAACTGTGGCCTAGGTAGCAAAAGTCATCTTCAATGGAATTAGTAGCAGGTCACATATACTATTGGTTCTCAGGGTTCCCTTCCCTGGTGGGAACATTGTAAAGTTGACCTGCTGGTTATTGGTCCCAGTGGACTTGAGTGTGAAGGAGGAATATCTGTGACTCTCAACCTCATTTTTATAACCTGAAGGGACATTTAATTTGAGTTATATTTATTGTCTGTCATTAATCACTTAAATGACTGTTTCCAAATGGATTGTTAAACAAATTGAGTCTGTGTTTTATCAGTGGAACCAGATTGTTGTGACACAAAAACTCTGAGGGGCATGATGGAAACGAGATCATGGTTTGGAACAGGTGGGCAGAAAAGAGATCTGGTTAACACCAGAGCTAAGGACCATGGCCAGACGTGCACGTGCTCACATCATGACCGTGTGAAACTAGAAATGTAGAGGTGAAATAGACTCTAAAGGGAAGCCTGTCGCTCTCCCTGATGTTCTCTGGATGGTATATTTTCCGAGGCCTGTGTCTTTGGGATATTATTCATGTCATTGCTATTGACTGACATGTGACCTGAGTGGAAACATTAGTTTCTGTGGAATAAGTCTGATATTACAAGCAGGTGAAGAGGCTCATGATATCATGATAATATACTGACAGCCGTCACCTCAATATTTGGGATGGAACAGTAAGTCAGAAATAGAGGCTGGATGGGCCCTGAGCAGGGTCTTTGGCCTGGCATTGTCCTGCCTTAGACCTGCACAGGGTCTTGGTCTAGCTCTAACAGAACACCACAGACTAGGTGGCTGTAAACATCAGATATTTATTCCTCAAAGTTCTGGAGCCTTGGGAAGTCCAAGATCAAGGTGCTGGCAGGTTTGGACTTTGGCCAGACACACTTCCTGGTTTTCAGATGTTCCTCTTTTGGCTGTGACCTCACATGGTTGATAGGGATAAGAAAGCACTCTGGGGTCTCTGAGGGCACTAATTCCATTCATGAGGACTCCACCTTCACCACCTAATCACCACCCAAGGCCTCACCTCCTATGCCATCAACCTTAGGAGCAAGAATTTCAACATAGAAATTCAGGGCAGCTGTAAACGATGGGTCCATTGCAAAGGTGAAGCTCTGAGCCAGTGGTACTAGAGGGGTACTCACAGGGGAGATATCTCTCTAGGAAAGATACAGCTTCTGGGCTGTTTCCCTTCCTATTTGCTCCTTTTCTCCCATAACCCCTGTCATAGTTAATTTTATGTCAACTTGACTGAGCCACAGGGCACCTTGACATTGGGTCAGGTATTATTCTAGATGTGTCTGTTTTGGACCAGCTGAACATTTGAATCCATAGACTGAGTGAAGCAGATGGCCCTTCCCAATGGCACTGGGCCTCAGTCATCAGTCAAAGGCCTGAATGGATCAAAAAGGCTGACCTCCCAGGAGAAACAGGGAATTCTTCCTCCTGCCTGCCTTGAGTGGGGACATTGGTTCTTCCTGACTTCAGACTATGTTGACATGGGACCCTTGGGTCCCCAGCTTGCCAACTGCAGGTATAAGAACATGTCAGCCTCCCTGACTGTGGAGCCAATTTTTTACAATAACCCTCTTTCCATCTATCCTAGGGGCTCTATTTTTCTGGAGAACCCTGGCAAACACAACATCCCTATTATTTTATCTTTTTTTTTTTTAACATATTTAAACTTTTTTTTTTTTTTGAGATGGAGTTTCGCTCGTTACCCAGGCTGGAGTGCAAAGGCACGATCTCGGCTCACTGCAACCTCTGCCTCCTGGGTTCAGGCAATTCTCCTGCCTCAGCCTCCTGAGTAGCTCCAGGCATGCTCCACCATGCCCAGCTAACTTTTTGTATTTTTAGTAGAGACGGGGTTTCATCATGTTGACCAGGATGGTCTTGATCTCTTGACCTTGTGATCCACCCGCCTCAGCCTCCCAAAGTGCTGGGATTACAGGCTTGAGCCACCGCGCCCAGCCAACATATTTAAACTTTAAGTTTGCAATTGCATGAAAAAATGTGTGGGTGAAAATGTGTGTAATTGGGAGATTATAATAACCCAGTCAGCTTTCAGTCAATAGTGTCCACTAGAAGGAAAGAAAGATAAATCCTCAGGTGGGTTGGAGGTACTAGGTTGGTCTTATATTAGGAAGGGATACCTGTAAAGGGGAAAGGCATGACAGCAGGGAAAGGTGAGAACTTTTTATTGGGAAAGTACAAATACACTCCAAGAGAGGAGGGGGCTGACCCTCCTGGAAACATCCCCATGACATTCTGCATTGTTATCTAATATTGTCTCAGTTATTTCTTTGCCCAGTTCTCACCAAAATTCGGGGGATCCTCCCTTACTGTGCTTAATGCACATACATGGGAAACATTAATCAACATGAATCCTACCTAATGGTGGCATTGCATAATACCACCACCCTGGGAAGGTATAGCAGTCAATTTTGTACTCATTGTGCCTGCTCAGCTCTCAGGAATTTCACTTTGCCTCTTTTTTCCTTATCATAATCTAGTTAACAACATTCTGACAGTTTGAAGATGGAGTACTGAGCATCCAAAGAGGTGTTCTGGGGGATTCTTTCCAACATGGATACCTCCCCCTTGTGCCTGCTCATATCTGACTGTCTACTCCTCTTACATTCTCCCTCAAGTGGTTGGGACCCAGAAATCTTTTGAGAGATGGGGCAGACATCATCCTCTGTAGCTACTTCCTGCTGAAAAGGGCCATTGAGAGTCTTCAGGGTCCTTCCTCCTTGCTTGCTGTCATGGTGAGGAGGTTTTGACAATTGTTGTCTTTTAGAAGATTTCACCCATGCTGTCCAGAGGAGACATATAGGGACTTGGTTGTCCTGGAGGGAGAGAAAGAGGTTGATATCCCCATCACAAGACCATTTGAAGTCTGATGGTTTTTAGGTGGGAGGAAATAAACAGAAGATTCAGAGAACAAGGCTCAAAAAGGAGAAGAAAGATATAGGCCAGGGGTCCCAGCAAAGGGAAGAGCTATGAGAATGAAGAACAGGTGACACCCCAGCAGAGCCAACTCTTAATATCCCTTTACCAAAGATGAGAAGCCTGGTCTATAAGATCTCTAATGTACTCCTGGACCTGCTCTGATCTGTTAACAGAAAAATACAAGAATTATGTTAGAAATATGAAAACTAAAGGAAAGAGATACTGTAACTAACCTTTGACAAGTAGTTCTCCATTCTGATATTTGAAGACAATGAGTAGGAATACTGAAGTCTTCTGTTGGATTTTGTATTCTGTTGAGACCTAAACTGTCATTAAACTTTCCATTGCAAGGTGATTCTAGGACTGGCATCATAGTATATGTAGCCAATAAACATCTGGTCTGTTCCTTCACTAGAAGTTTGGTAGTAAAATCTGCTAGAATTTCCATCTGTAAGACTGCAAAAGATAAACACTGAGTGTTTATTTTTTTTCCAAAATGATATCTAAATAATGTGTGTGCTGTTTAAAAAGTTCACAATGAATGAATGAAATATACCACAATTTATGTGTCCCTTTTTTAAGTCCATCTGCTCTCAGCTCCAGCTGGCTTGGAGCTCCAATCAGTCTGAGCTCCATTTTGCTACGAGCATCATCTGATCAGAGCCCTGTCTTACTCTAAGCATCATCTTTTCTGAGCTCCATCTTCTCAAAGCTTCAGCTTGCTCAGAGCTCCAATCACTCTGAGCACCATCTTGCTCTAAATTTGGAGCATGATCTGCTCCAAATTCCAATGGCTCAGAGCAATGTTTGGAGTGCCAATCAATCACTCTGAGGTCAATCTTGCTGTGAGCATCATCTTCTCTGAGCTCCATCTTACACCAAGCAACATCTGCTGCAAGCTCCATCTTGCTTGGAGGTCCTTCTTGCTTCAAGCTCTATTTATTCCAAGCTCCATGTGCTCCAAAGTCCATCTTGCTCAGAGCTCCAATCACTCCAAGCACTATCTTTCTCTGAACACCATCTGCATAGACATTTATCTTACTCGGAACTTCATCTAGTCAGAGATCCATTTACTCTAAGCTTCATCTTGCTGGGAATTCTAATAACTCTATGCTCCATCATGCTGGGAGCTCCAGTCACTCCAAGCTCCATTTTGCTCTGAGCATCATCTGGTCAGAGCTCATCTTACTCTAAGTAACATGTGCTCTGAGCTCCACCTTGCTTGGAGCTGTACTCACTATGGGCACCATTTTGCTCTGAGCTCCAAAACCTAGCAACATCTTCTCCAAACTCCATCTTGCTTAGAGCTCATTTTTGCTCAGAGCTCTATTTACACCAAGCTGCATCTTGCTCAGAGCTCCAATTGTTCAGAGCAATGTTCAGAGTGCCAATCACTCCGAGCTGCATCTTACTCTAAGCACTATCTGCTCTGAGGTCCATCTTACACCAGCAACATCTGCTCCAAGCTCCATCTTGCTTGGAGCTTCTTGTTGCTCAGAGGTCTATCTGATCTGAGCTCCATCTGGTTTGAAATTCCAATTACTCCAAGCTCCATCTTTCTCTGAGCACCATCTGCTTGAAGCTCCATCTGCTCTGAGCTCATATTGCTTAGAGCTTCCATCACTCTGAGCTCCATTTTCTCTGAGCACCATCTGCTCAGAGTTTCATCTACTTGGAGTTGCATTTGCTTCAAGCTACATCTTTCTCGGAGCTCCAATCAGTCCAAACTACATCTTGCTCTGAGCACCCTCTGCTCAGAGCTCCATCTTCTCCTAGGTCCACCTTGCTGAGATTTCCAGTCACTTCCAGCTCCATTTTGCTCTAAGCACCATCTGCTCAAAACTCCACCTTACTACTGTGAGCAGCATGTTCTCTGAGCTCCATCTTGCCCTGAGCTCCACCTTACACCAAGCAACATATGCTCCAAATTCCATTTTGCTTGGAGCTCCTTTTTGTTCAGAGCTCTGTCTGCTCCAAGTTCCATCTTCCTTGGATCTCTAATCTGAGCTCCATCTAAAACCAAGCAATGTCTATTCCAAGATCCATCTTGCTTAGAGCTCCTTCTTGCTCAGAGATCCATCTTGCTCAGAGTTCCAACTACTCAGAGCAATGTTCACAGTTCCAATCACTCCAAGCTCCATCTTGCTCTGAGCTCCATCTTACACCAGGAAACAACCTCTGCAAGCTCAATCTTAACTTGGAGGTGCTTCTTGCTCAAAGCTCTATCTCCTCCTAGCACCATCTTGCTCAGAGCTCCAATCACTCTGAGCTGTATCTTGCTTTAAGCACCATCTGCACAGAGCTTAATTTTTCTCAGAGTTCTGATCACTCTGAGGTTCATCCTGCTCTGAGCACCATCTACTTGGAACTCCAGGTTGCTCTGATTACCAACTGCTTGGAAGCAATTTCTGTGAGCTCCATCTGTTATGAGCTCTAATCACTCTAAGCTCCATCTTGCTGTGAGTACTATATGCTCAGACCTCCATTTCGCTCTGAGCACCATCTACTCTGAGCTACATCTTGCTCAGAGCTCCATCTACTCTGAGTTCCATTTTGTTCTGGGCACAATTTGTTTGGAGTTCTGTCTTGCTCTGAGCACCATCGGCTCTAGACCCCATCTTTCAGAGTTCCATTTGCTCCATGTTCCATCTTATTCTGGGCACAATTTGCTCGGAGCTCCATCTTGCTCTGAGCACCATCTGCTTGGAACTCCATCTTGCTAAGAACTCCAATCACTTTGAGCTCCATTTTGCTCTGAGCACCATCTACTCAAGAGTTCCATCTTGCTCTAAGCACCATTTGCTCAGAGCTCCATCTCACTGTGAACATCTTATCTGAGATTCAACTTGCTCTGAGTGCCATTTGCATGGAACTCCTTCTTACTCTGAACAACATCTTCTCCAAGTTCCATGTTGCTCAAAGCTCCCTCAGCTCCAAGGTCCATCTTGCTTGGAGCTCTAATCACTCTGAACTCCATCCTGCTTAAGGACCATCTGCTCTGAGCTCCACTTAAAATCAAGCAACATCTGCACAAAGCTCCATCTTGCTTACAGCTTCTTATTGATGAGAGCTCCATATGCTCTGAGCACCATCTTGTTGAGAGCTCCATCTTGCTCTTCACTCCATCTTACACAGAGAAATATCAGCTCCAAGTTCAATCTTGCATGGAGCTGCTTCTTTTCTAGCTTATTCTGCTCAGAGCTCCATCTGCTCCGAGCTCCATCTTGCTCAGTGCTCCAATCACTCTGAGCTCTATCTGCTCTGAGCTCCTATCACTACAAGCTCCATCTAGCTCTGAGCTCCATCTTACACAAAGGGACATCAGCTCCAAGCTCTATCTTGCTTGGAGTTACTCCTTGTCCGAGCTTAATCTGCTCAGAGCTTACCCTGCTGAGAGCTCCACCTGCTCTGAGCTCCAACTTGCTCAGAGCTCCATCTGCTCTGAGCTCCATCTTGCTGAGAGTTCCATCTTCTCTGAGCTCCATCTTGCTCAGAGTTCCATCTGCTCTGAGCTCTATCTTGCTCAGAGTACCATCTGCTCTGAGCTCTATCTTGCTCTGAGCTCCTATCACTCCAAGCTCCATTTCACTCAGAACCGTCTGCTCTGAGCTCCACCTTGCTCAGAGGTCCAATCACTCTGAGCTCCACCTAGCTCTGAGCTCCATCTGGTCTGAGTTCCTTTCACTCCAAGCTCCATATAGCTATGAGCTCCATCTTACACAGAGAAACATCAGCTCCAAGTTCCATCCTGATTGGAGCTCCCTCTTTTCTGAGCTTAATCTGTTCAGAGCTTAACCTGCTGAGAGCACCATCTTCTCTGAGCTCTATCTTGCTCAGAACTCCATATGCTGAGTTCCCTCTTGCTCAGAGTTCCATCTGCTCCAAGCTCCATCTGCTTCGAGCTCCATCTTGCTCAGTGCTCTAATCACTCCGAGCTTCATCTTGCTCTGAGCTCCTTTCACTATAAGCTCCATCTAGCTCGCAGCTCCATCTTACACAGAGAAACGTCAGCTCCAAGCTCCATCTTGCTTGAAGCTCCTTCTTGTCTGAGTTTAATCTTCTCAGAGCTTAACTTGCCCAGAGCTCCAATTTGCTCAGAGTTCCATCTGCTCAAAGCTCCATCTTCTCTGAGCTCTGTCATGCTCAGAGCTCCATCTGCTCTGAGCTTTATCTTGCTCGGAGCTCCGTCTGCTATGAGCTCCCTCCTGCTCAGAGCTCCATCTGCTCTGAGCCCTATCTTGCTCAGAGCTCCACCTGCTCTGAGCTCCATCTGCTCTGAGCTCTATCTTGCTCAGAGCTCCATCTACTCAGAACTCTATGTGCTCAGAGCTCCATATGTTCTGAGCTCTATCTTGCTGAGAGCTCCATCTGCTCAGAACTCTATCTGCTCTGAGTTCTATCATGCTCAGAGCTCTATCTTGCTCAGAGCTCCATCTGCTCAGAACTCTATGTGCTCAGAGCTCCATCTGTTCTGAGCTCCATCTTGCTCAGAGTTTCATCTGCTCAGAACTCTATCTGCTCTGAGCTCTATCTTCCTCAGAGCTCCATCTGCTCTGAACTCCATCTTGTTCAGAGCTCTATGTGCTCAGACTCCATCTGTTCTGAGCTTCATCTTGCTCAGAGTTCCATCTGGTCAGAACTCCAACTGCTCAGAGCTCTATCTTGCTCAGAACTCCATCTTCTCAGAGCCCCATCTGCTCTGAGCTCCATCTGCTCAGAGCTCTATCTTGCTCAGAGCTCCATGTGCTCAGAGCTCTATCTTCCTCAGAGTTCCATCTGCTCTGAGCTCTATCTTGCTCAGAGCTCCATGTGCTCAGAGCTCCATCTTGTTCAGAGCTCTATGTGCTCAGAGCTCCATCTGTTCTGAGCTCCATCTTGCTCAGAGTTCCATCTGCTC